GCGTCCATTAGGTCCAATGTTTTACAAAATGATGTTGTTGTATCTTTATGTTGTGTAGCCACAAATTCTGCTATCGAACATATGGTTTCAGGTTTGATCCATACATGTCATCTTCCAGAAATATCATTGAATGTCTGTTGATTATGATTGATGCTTAACGTCATATTATATTAATTCGAATTTCTACATAGTTCGTATCCCGTTATTAATAAGGCGGTTAGGGACTATTTTGTATTTGTATGCAATTGTAACTTAATAAACCAAGCAACCGAATAAATTATCAGTCACTAAAACTGATCTTCTGGATGAATCACAATGAACTCGTCACATTCCAGTTTCCATAAGGATGGTGTCACGATAAGTTTGATGATAAACCAATAAAAATATGGGCCATGTCACTGCCATGGCAATCGTTTGAGATGGGTCGCCAACCATAATTTAAGGACCGAAATGAATTTCTCGCAAAGCCAGGTAAATGTATTGTAATGATAATTTTATAAGATAAATCGTCAAGTTTAGAAGATAAAGTAGTTTCTGTTCACAGTTTTGTTATATTAGCTTAGCAGTTGTTAAGGTCAAGGCTAAAGGATATATTTAGAAAAGCGTTTTTGACAGTTGAACCTTATTAATTTAGAAGATAGAGTTTAAAGTTAAATGTTGATGGGCTGGAGTTTTAATGAAATATTTAAGTGCCTTCCTACCATGATCAGTAATCCTTTTAGTGCCTACTGCTAAGTGAAGATGTTTTCGCACACGGAAAACAATCACTATTGGTCACCAAGTCAAGTGGTCAGTGTAGTCAAGGCAGGTTGGAGATATCAAACATATATAATTAAATTTGCATGCGCAGCTAAACTCACGATATTTTCCTTCATAGTGCCATCTGTTCGATACTTTCCTACACCACCACAATCACACCACAACTGCCGAAACTTGAAAAATAATCGAATATTTTTCGAAAATTATTTATAAAACGAACGAAAATCTTAGATAAAACTAATCGCTAGCTTTATCCACATCAAAGCTTAAATAATAATATTCCTTTCAATTAATATATAGAAAATTACTTACTTAGTTATAATCTAATAAGAATTATTCGAAATCAGAACAAAGTTGCTTCATTAAACTTATTAAGTAATCAATGAATTCTTTTGACAAAGGAAAATGTAATTTTATAATATTTTTTAATTATTTCCGCTTTTATTTGAGGAAGTGGAATTAATTTATTACAATAAAAAACGGAACGTTCAAATACGGATTCAATTGCTACGTTGATTTTATATTGAGGAGGACTAGACTAGAAGATGATGTTAGAAGTGTAGTCCTCCGATATGGAAATGGGAATGGGTTCTTTAAATATTAATGAATAAAAACATAACTATACCAGCTTTTCAATGTCCACTGTATAATAAAACTTTAATGTAACCCGATCCTAATGGCAACACTCTGCATTGATTTATAAGTGATTGATAGAAATTTCACATAATTAATAGCCAAAACCAATAGGTAGAGGGAGAGAAGCAAGTGGGAGTGTCAGAATACAACAGACTAAAATCCACCCCGTTCCTACTCTTGCTCTGATAAATTACGCGTCAACTCTATGCCAGTGCCATACTTGATGGTGTAACAGCTCTTTGAGGTACCTACGTCTCTTGATCACCGTCCGCAGACATTGGCCGCTGATCATTGCGTGATCACTGACAGAGTGTCTCCTGCGAGGCAATGTAGCATAGTTACTGTTCCTTCAGGCACTCCATCTCCTTCTTAGCGAGCATGACACCTTCGTAGGAGCAGAAAACCGCCCAGTTGCTCTCGCCCCGCAAGGCCAGGCTCCAAAATATGCTTGGGTGTAAAATACCACGGATCAAATTTAAAGTTTCATCATCATCATCAGCCTGTAAGTGGCCACTGCTGAGCAAACGCCTCTTCTCACACGGAGAAGGTTTGAGCATTAATCACTACGCTTGCTCAAGGCGGATTGGTGATTTCAAACTTATAATTAGAAATTAGTCTAGGTTTTTTCACGATGTTTTCCTTCACCATATGTCAGTGGTGTCTAAATAATCATAGAAAGTACTCCAGGCCACCGCAACACAATATATCTATACTAAAATTATAAAGAGCTAAAATTTGTAAGTTTGTAAGTTTGTATGTAGGAGGTAATTTTTGCAACCGCAGCCAGGTCCGATTGCCAAAATTCTTTTACCAATAGATAGCTAAAATGTTCCGGAGTGCTATAGGCTATAAAACACCACGCGATGATCACACGGTGCCGATCAGCGGGTGAAACCGCGCGAGAGTAGCTAGTGTAATATAAAACCTTTATCACTCATCAATTCAAAGCTTGATGAGTGATAAACAAAAAGGTCATTAGCATCGTAACAATGAACATGGTACCATGAACTGTAGTCGTCACAAAATTTTATCTTGAGCGGACGTGTACATCCTTGTAATGAACCGTTTTAACTCAATCATACAACATTACATAGTGGGTTCGATAATTGTTTGTATTGATGATAAATTTATAAATCTTTACTTGTAGTCGTAGATATGATTGTGGGTAACGGGGTCTATAGGATTCCTCCCAAGTTCTGAGTCAAAAATATCCATTTCTCTCTCTCCCCATCCACAATCCTCAAATCTCCATTCTTCGAAGTGCGCTCACTTCGGTGACGTGAGGGTGGCTAATATTTGAAGCGTGACTCTCAGCCGACCCAGATATTGCTGTGGGAATCGGCTTACAAGTGATTTTTATTTCGGATTTTTGCATATTTCACTTTGAAATCCATTGCATTGTCACTCACGAACAGTTTCAGTGGGCACATCGTGAGCGATGGTAGATGTAGGATGTAGATGTAGGTATGACAGTAACAAAACTAAAGTTGCAATTAGCGGAAGACCGTATCGTTATCCAGGAATAATTTGTTTAATTTCTATCGAAAGGGAACTTGCAGGTTTGAAACTTCGCAAGTACCAATGCAACTTTTTCCGAACAATGTACTTTCTATGATAATTATACATACATCACTGACATAAAAGAAAACATCGTGAGGAAACATGGACGTATAATTTCTAATGTAATGGTGAACTGGCGATTTCAAAATTGTAAGTTTGAAATCGCCAGTTCACCTTGAGCAAGCGTGTTGATTAATGCTCAAACCTTTTCCGTTTGAGAAGAGTAGATTTACAACTCTTTGTGTGATTCACAAATTGTTGTTCCTGGGTGTTATGTGTATGTGAAATTGTATGTTTGTAAGCGCGCCCACGACACAGGGGAAAATCCTAATGTGGGGCAACGTTTTAAAAAATAAAAAATAAAAAAAAGAAGAGGCTTTTGCTCATCAGAAGGTACTTATAGGCTGATGGTGATGATGTGTCTCAGTCCAATTCTAGGGATTCTGATATCAGCAAATGTTAAGTATGAGTCATTTCCTTCGTTATTGTTTTTTAATTGCAAAGTCTACATACTAATGAATAATACTAATGATAACTGATGACGAATGAAAATAAAACTATATTTATTATTTTGCTATGAGTGCCGAATTAGCATAATTATATTTACTATTCGTCCATTATAGTATTAACTAGCTGACCTGCAGAACTTTTACCGAGTCAAAATATCATTCCTTATTCCTTATAAATGTCGGTTTTTTGCTCACAAATTCCTTATATACTCCGGACTTTTAACATCTGAGGTCTGTCCATTCGTTTAAGAGCTTGAGCCAGACCACAAACAGCACTTTATTTACTTAACCGATTTCTGTGAAATTTGGTACAGACATAGTTAGGAACTCGAGAAAGGATCATAGGACATAGAATAGTTTTTATACCAAAAATCTGCAGGAAGTCACTATTTCACGCGAACGGAGTCGCAGCGAGGGCAAAAACTAGTAATAAAAAATGTTCCCGTTGACTGTATTTTTTTTTTTCACATAAACCTTGTCACGACATTTTGTTGGCTCAGAGTTTAAGGAGCAAAAATAGTTGGCACCAATGTGGGTCCTTTCAACTAGTTATATGTACATTACTTTCTTAAATTATTAAGATGCGACTTTTTTATGTGATAAGACGGCAAGCGAGCAAATGTATTACCCGATGGTGTGCAATCAATGCTGCCCTGATGAAATGAAAATGAATAGACACTCGCAACATCGGAGGAGTTACGAGTGCGTTGCCGACCTTTTGGGGATTTAGGATTTGAAGATTTTTTGATTGGGTGTTTAAAGGATTGGTGGTTTCACGCCGGTTTTATATGAGGCCGTGGTATCACTCCGATCGAGGCCAACCTATTCCTGCAAAAACTCTGTTCTGCCACACTTTTGCTGATGTATTAGTACTAGACCCGGAGATTTTCGAGTTCAAACAAACAAATTAAGCTATATTGACACATAGATGCATAGGGTAGTTCAGAAATAGATAATTACCTAGTACATATAATACTTTATATATACATACTTTATTTATTTTTATTGATTTGTATGCAGTCGAGATATCAGCTACTGGACCATTAGTTAAAATGGTCCTTACTTCATATCACATTGTACCCACTGATAACAAAACGGTTATAATTACTACAAAATAAACATTTTAAACTCAACCCTATTTTTAGTAGTTCAAGGTTCAATATTGATTAGTTTTGTTTATTCTTACTCGAATTGTATGTAGTTTATAAGTAAATATTTACCTCATTCATTGATATGAGTTTTAACTATCAACACGCCATTTTCTCTTTTATTTTAAATAAAATAAAATGTAATTCATTTATTTTAAAATTAAATTTGAACATGTGACGTGTATCGTGAACAAAAGTTATTTAAAATAAAATTAAAAAAAGTTTGAATATAAAATAAAAGTTATTTTTTATTTCAAATAAAAATAAAATTTTACTTTTTTAAACTTTAACCAGTATTTTTGTGCAGTGCTTGTTGTTGTGTTGTTTTAGTATTTGTGATATTATTTGTGAAGTCATATATATAAGTGTGTTCTAAATATATACTTTATATATTATTTTGATATAAAGTGGAAGGATGAAATACCTAAATGTTCGTTAAATGATATATTGCACTGTGCAGTTCAGTTTTAACATGGTGGTCAAGTGAACCAGGACTCAATATACCTAATTTTAATATGACCGTGTGATGGCATTTTTGCATAAACATTTATAGGATTATTTTGATTGGTAAGTTAGTTTTTTATTTTTTTAGTTTATTTTAGTTTTGTGTAAGTGAATTAAGAGATTTTTGTTAATAATATCATTTATTAAATTCAAAATTAAAAAAATATTGCAAATTAATTAGAGAAGTTTGCAAAATAGTTTTTTTTTTATTACATTATAATTATAACTAACATAAAAATGACATATTAATTATTTAAAAATAAGGTCTGCGCTTATAGGAATGATTTCTAAAGAGTAAGGTCAACAATTTCTTTGTTCCATCTGCATGTAACTCATGTTATGACAAATAAATGATCTATCTATCTAACCCATCAAATTTTTTTTCGTTTACAGAAATCAACAGAAATGGCAAAGAAATTAGTATCTCTTGTGGTAATAATATTAATTGCACATGTTTGTACATCAAGTCATGTGTTCCACGTAAACACTGGTATAACATTCCGACCGGATTTTGATGCTGAATACTTCGGATACTCTGTTATTTTGAGTCCTGATGGGTAAGTACTTTGATAATACTTTTAATTACTTACGTATTGTACGATCAGACGGATTACCTGATGGTAAGCAATCGGCGCTGCCCATCATGGACACCCGTAATATCAAAAACGTATTGAGTGCGTTGCCAGTCTTTTGGGGATAAGTGTTTCGTATAGTTAAGTATTGGGAATGAATGGAGGAGGGGTAGGGATTGGGCCTCCGGTAACCTCACTCACACAGTGAAAAAGAACTCTATGGTTGTTTCACACATATCTGGTTAAAATTTTTAGTGGTTCCGCTTCTTTTATTATTATTATTTTTTATGTGGGAGTGCCATAAATGGTTGGCTCGATTGGACGGAATAATAATACATAGGTTATTTATATTTGTGATCCACTTTTGGATCCAATTCTGAGGCTCATATGTATGTTTATAAAAGCACCTATGACACACCAAAACATCGTATTAGGGGCTTTAAAAAAGAATCCTTAATCCACAATCAGCAAATCCTAGATTGTCATAATCATACTTTACTTACAAGCGTGGTGATTAATGCTCTACCTTCTCCATATGGGAAGAGGCTTTTGCTCAGCAGTGGGCACTTATAGACTGATGATGATGATGATGATGAATTCTTTTATTAGATCCTAGATATGGCGGCAAACGAGCAATTCGTTTGCCGCCAATTCGTTGTTAAGTGGTCGGGTTCGATTCCCGACTGCGGTAGTAACGTATTTAAAGTGTGTCTTGTTTTGTTATGTTCCCAAAAGCATTTATTGAATATTAGCTTTTGCCGCTTTTTCGTTCACGTGGAGTAGTGATTTCCTGCAGATTTTTGTTATAAAAACCATTTTATGTCCTTTCTCGAGTTCCAAACTATGTCTGTACTAAATTTCACTAAAATCGGTTTAGTAGTTGAGGCGTAAAGAAAAGACAGACAGACAGAGTTACTTTCACATTTACAATATGAGTTTTCAGTTATATGTTTTTTTATATATACAGACTATTAGTTGGAGCCCCTAAATCAAAAGAACTCAAAGATTCCTCGACGGGAATCAAACCTGGGATGGTGTTCAACTGCTCTCTGAGCAACTTGGATGCAAAGTTTGGATCTTGCACTGCCGTGAAACGATCTGGAAGATTGGGTAATGTATTATCAACATTAAAATAATAGTTATAAGGTTCAAAGTCATAATGTTATGGCATTACATATGTAAGTAGGTTTTATTATTAGGTATATATTTATTATTATCTGTGGTATGTTTTGTGGTGACTAATATGTAGTTTTAAAATAAACAAAAAGTCCCTTCCATATTTAGGTATTATTTTAATGGAAACAAAACATTCCTATTTTTTATACAACAATAAGTAAATTATTTATTAATTTAAAATATTTTTTTATGATTGTTTATAAAATAAATCTCTATAATAAAATAGAATTGTTGATCGTGCCTAGTCTAGTTCGTTGTTTATCTAAATAACTATTATTTTGTTCTATTTTTAAATGTTATTGATAAACGAGACGGACATATTGTATTACTAGCTTTTGCACGCGACTTTTGTTCGCGTGGAATAGTGACTTCCTACAGATTTGTCGTTTTACCCTCATATTTCTCGATCTAGCGGGATTATTGAGAAGTTCCCGCTCCCTATGTCCTTTCGCAAGTTCCAAACTATATCTGTACCAAATGTCACACAAATTGGTACAGTTGTTTAGGCGTGAAGAAAAGACAGACAGACAGACAGACAGACAGAGTAACTTTTGCATTTATAATATTAGTTTCGATCTCGCGATCTCGCAAGAATTTTGAGCGCGGCCATACCTTTGTTGGTGAAATGTGTGTTGGATAATGGTGCCATGCTTTGACTTGGAGTTACAGGGTGTGGTACTGATGAAGGTATGGGTTTCGAGAGTTGATTAAGGTTGGATTGTAAGAGGGTCGCGGCCAGGTCTACTGGTTTGTGCGCTTCCCGCCACCTATGTCCTTTCGCAAGTTCTAAACTATGTCTGTACCAAATTTCACATAAATCGGTACAGTAGTTTAGGCGTGAAGAAATGACAGACAGACATGGTTAATGTCGGATTTATAATCTTTGTTTGGATATCATTCAGGAAAATTGTCGCTAAGTATCTATCAGAGAAATCATTTTATAATAATATTAACATAATAATTATTAACGTTGTTTTCCGTTCACGGGATCACAGGATCCTGGACCTTTGGAAGGCGTAGGAGGGGCCGAAGCCAACTCGCAGAGGCCCGTTGAACAACTTTAATTTAAGTAAAATGGGACATCAGCCGGCAATTATCCCTGTATGCACTAAAAAAAGAAAAATAACGTTGATTGTGTCCAAAAATACGAATATTAGAAATCCGACTAGCGGTTCCCAAGGTTATATTACATACAAACTTACAAATTTTACCTCCTAATAATTTTAGTATAGATAAGTAAAGTGTATTATTATTAGTAACACGGATAGCAAAAATGAGTCATCAGAATTCATTTTAATTGCCAACAATATGCAGTTTATTTCCGAAACATAGTGTCAGCATGTTATCAAATATTTTAGTAGGTAATAATATATTACGTAATCAATGAAATTATGTATGCATATGTATGTTCGATTCCCCACGGAACAACTCTTTGTGTGATTAACTATAATTTGTTGTTCACGCTATTTTCTTTTTAATTTATTTATTTAACTCTTTATTTCAGGCTACTAAGGCCCATAAACACTGTACATAAATAACAATCTAAAAAAAAACAAACTAATACATAATAACCACGACAACAGAAGATAACCAATTAAATTACTCAAAAACCACATTCAGTGAAAAGGTTTCTTCTGGCAATATTATTAAGCATAAATTTAAATTAAAACATAAAACTAAATTAGATAACTTGTTGTCATTATACAGTCAAAATATTCAGGGCTTATCATCAAAAATCCTAGAAATTGAATTGTTTTTAGAGAAATTCCAATATGATATTATTTGTTTAACTGAACATTGGTTAAAAGATTATCAAGTAGAAACAATTAACTTCAATAACTATTGTGTTGGCAGCAATTATAGCCGCCAAGCAATGATACATGGTGGTAGCCTGATTTTAGTAAAGAACTCAATAAAATATAAAGAAAGACAAGACATTGCTCTGCTGTCAATTGAACACACAATAGAGTTGTCCTGTGTTGAGCTGGATAGGCATATTGTAGTATGTGTTTATAGGCCTCCTAACATACAGAATCTAAATATTTTTCGCTCTGTAATGGAAGATGTACTGCGGAAAACATGTACTAGTAGTAAATGTACAATAGTATGTGGCGATTTTAATGTTGATCTCTTAGAAAACAATTCTCATTGTACAAACTTGTTAAGTCTATTTCAATCATTTGATTTGTCTAATGTTTTCCTTGAGCCCACCCGAGTAACATCCACCTCGGCAACTTGTATAGATAATATTTTCTGTAACTGTGATTATTTACAAAGTGAAATTGTAAATAGATTACCATCTGATCACAGTGGGCTCACAGTTAACTGTAATACTATAACAACTGTGCCAAAAAAGGATATATTGTTTAGACAAATCACATACAAAAAAATTGACTCATTAAATAATAAGCTAAAACATAAATTATGCAGCCAAGTACAAGACAATAATTGCCCGAGTGAGATATATGCCAATTTATTATCCCTTATAAAAATACAATTCGATAAACTATTTCCTTTAAAACGTAAAAATATTCAGTGTAAATTTGTATTCTGTGACTGGGCTACACCAGGTATTCGTATAAGTAGAGACAGGTTATTTGAGCTATACGGCCTGAAACCATTTAATAGTAGCGAGGCTTTTCGCAGACATGTTTCCAAATATTCAAAAATATTTAAAATAGTATGTAAGCATGCTAAGTCGCTCCACATTAGTAATAAAATCAGGACCGCGGAAAACAAAATAAAAGCTACCTGGAATATAATTAATAAAGAAACAGGTAGAAATAAATCACAAAACACTGAATTTAATTTAAAAACCGAAAAGGGATATACTAGTTCAAATTCGTCAGTTGCCCAGGAATTCGAAAGATTCTTTAAAAATATTCCTCTTAAAACTACGGAAACGTTAAAATCATCTCCAGCACTTTCTGTCGAGCTTCTCAGGGGTAACGTCAAAGAATGTCCTTCTGACTTTAGCTTTCAATACACAACCCCCCAGGCAGTAATAAAGGCGTTCAATGAGATCAAAGTAAAGTCAACTGAAGATCTTTGGGGAATGTCTGTTCGAGTGTGCAGGTCGTTTATAGAGACAATTGCGCCGCACTTAACTTTCATTTTTAATAAAAGTGTAGATCAAGGGGTTTTCCCGGATTTAATGAAACATAGTAAAGTAGTTCCATTATTTAAATCAGGTGATAGTACAGAACCTAATAACTATAGGCCGGTCTCTATTTTGCCAGTGCTCAGTAAAGTGTTCGAAAGGTTGATGCTTACTCAAATGCTGCGTCACTTTAACACGAATTGTATTTTCCATGACCATCAATACGGGTTCACCAAAGGACGTTGCACTACGGACGCAGGAGTATCACTTATAAAACAAGTTTTCAACTCGTGGGAAAAAGCACAGGATGCCATCGGAATATTTTGTGACCTTTCAAAGGCATTCGACTGTGTTGAGCACGAGACGCTGTTACTGAAGCTAGAACACTACGGCATTCGGGGGGTATCCCTAGATTTATTGAAATCATACCTTCAAGAAAGAAAAATTAAAGTACAAGTCAACAAAGTTAACTCACTGGGTGCTAGCGTATCTATGGGCGTACCGCAGGGCTCAATATTAGGTCCTTTTCTATTTTTAGTTTATGTAAATGACCTGCCCCATATGTTCCAAAATGAACCGCATATGGTATTATTCGCTGATGACACTTCATTGATTTTTAAAATAAATAGACGAACAAACAAATATGACGAAGTTAATAATGCCTTAATGAAGGTTCAAAATTGGTTTACAATAAACAACTTATTACTAAATGATAAAAAGACTAAATGCATTAGATTTATTTTACCAAATGTTAAAAGTAACGTATGTGACGATATATTATTAAATGATCAGAAACTAGAATTTGTAAAAGAGACTACTTTCCTGGGGATCACTGTAGATGAGAAGTTGCAATGGGGGCCCCACATCAGGTCTCTAGCAGGACGATTGAGCTCTGCAGCTTATGCTGTCTGGAAGATCCGTCAGCTAACCGATGTAGGCACGGCAAGACTAGTGTACTTTAGCTACTTTCATAGCATCATGTCGTATGGAATTCTGTTGTGGGGACAGGCATCTGACGTTGAGTCTATCTTTATCTTGCAAAAGCGTGCCGTCAGAGCTATATATAACTTAGGTCGTCGCGAATCTCTCAGAGAAAAGTTTAAGGAGATCAACATTCTGACCGTACCGAGTCAATTTATTTATGAAAACATTATGTATGTTAGGAAAAACCTACACTTATTTGTAAAGGTATCTGACAAACATGATTATCATACTAGATATAGGAATAGATTGAGTCAGCCTTTATTTAGATTGGCAAAAGTGCATAAGTCATTCCTGGGTTTCTGTGTTAAATGTTATAATAAAATCCCAGTTGAAATTCAAAATCTAAATGAAAGTAAATTCAAATTATGTATAAAGAAACATTTATGTAAACTAGCATACTACAAACTAAATGATTATATACAAGATAAAAATGCTTGGAGGCTAGCTGGTCCTACTCCACAGGATGTTTAGAGGAATTTTTGATTTTAATTATTAATTTGTACACTATGTTGTTAATTGTTGATGATCTTCTAAGTTTTTGTAAATGTGAGTGCCCTGTAACCTATTATAATTAAGTAAGACTTGTAGAATATAGGTACTTGTGTCGGCTGGGAGCTGTCATGCTCACTCAGAGGTCTCATTGGCGGTGGCACGGGCACTGGATCGCCCAATTCCCTATAATATGGTTGAGTTGGGCGGTGCTGGTGTACGTGTCATGTTCGTGAACGGGCGCCGCCTATTGGGTACTGGTCAGCTCCAGGCTGTCTAAATATGTTGTCCTTGAGGTTCACTTCTTTTTCGTACTTTTTGCCTGAACATTAGTGTTACATTGTTCTCACATATCAGAACCGACTAAATTATGTAACAAAGAAATGTATTGTAAAACTGATTGAAAAAGAGTAACCATGGAGTTTCTTGCTCGTTCTTCTCCATAGGAATCTACACTTTGGAACGAGCAAATAGCTTCACTAGAGGACAGACGGACAGACTGACACGCTTAATTTTAAAGCTCTTGTTATATACTTTTTTCCTTTTTTGCTTGCTTGACGTTCAAAAGTGCCTACTGTGGTCTAATTGAAATAAATGATTTTTGACTTTTGACTTTTAATAAAATGTTGGCTTGTTCTTCTCTATTCTGATCTATAGATAATTTGGAACGAGCTAGCTTCAATGGCGAACAGACTGACAGTTCTATTTTGAAGTAGTAGTAAGCAAAATTATTTGTTTTTTTTTTAAATTGAAATAAACTATTTTAGCTTGGACTATGCAAAATTAGTTTTGCAAACGAACTCGCCACAGAGGAGAAAATCCTAGTGTAGTTACCTGCATGCATCTAGAAAGAAATTTACTTTCAGCACACGCCGTGAAACAACTTGAAAGTCCAAGCTTCTCCTCCCCCAATCCCAAAATCTAATCCCTAATACAAATAAGGTCTGTGACGCACTCGTAACTATTTCGTTGTTGCTGCTGTTCATGGGCAGGGCTGATTGCTTACCATCAGGTAATCTGTCTGCACGTTTCCCGTCCTATAACATAAAAAAGTCTTTTCATTGAAACACGGTCAGAGCTTTAAGTAATGATCTGCTGTTTTTGTTTCAGGTAACGACAATCTCATTAGCAGGTTGATGCCTGGTTTCCTTCGAGATGACATGTGGTACGGAGCGTCAATGGTGTTACTGCCTAATGGAAGACTGTTGGTATGGTATTTTTTTTCAAATCACATTAAATCATTTATTTGTTAACAAGGCGGCGTACAAATTTAATATTGTATGATAATCTACATAATTGAGGAATATAATATTTTGGTCTCATAACATTCGATACACCATACATCATCATTATATGTAATTTCACTTAGACGGGGCAAATGCGACCTCAGTCTTGAACAGTCAAAGAAACAGGGTGGTTATTAGTCAAGTGCATGATACTCCTTTGACTCCACCTAGGGCGAAAAAGTCATTGAACGATTTATTTATTTAATACTTTATGTACACAGTAAGTTGGACAAGAAAAATAATACTATAATTAGGTACAAAGGCACAGCTTATTTCTTCTGAAATCTCTTCCAGAAGGCCCGTTATGGGAGAGTTAAATAAACGATTTCACCCAATCAAAAAATGTATTACAGAATTGGTGAAAACCTCGCAGTGAAATTTGGCTCAGCAAGATAGGTTTCTTATCCAGGAATTTTTAGTTTTAGGTGATTGAGCACTTATTTTATAAATATTTATTTTCAGGTCAATGCCCCGAGATGGACATCTCCTTATGGAAAGAAACATTTATTATTGAATGGGATTAGTTTACTGCAGACAAGGAGAGGAAACCGACCTTTACATTGTTTGAAAGATTACAGTAAGTTGAAGATTATAAGGGTTTATCATAACTATCCCATTATGCTAATGCGTCTTTTCACATGTTGAGCATTAATTTCAATTCTGGTTCAAGATGGTTTGATGATGGTGAGTTTTTACAAGGATGTATTTGTCAGCTCACTTTTTCACGTTGAACTACATTAAAGAAAAATTATTTCCTATATCACACATAGACATGAAACCACATTTTGCGAATCACACAATAATATTGTTTCATTCAAGTATCAAGCACACTATGCGTTGCACAGTATCAATTTGCCTAGCAAAAGTGCTGCAAAATACATATGAGCTCCTAGCGTTGAAACTAAGACGAGAGAGCCAAGCTTCAGCAAGAAAAGGTCGGCTCGCCCGGAGTGTCAAAAAATCGACGTGAAACAACCACAGCGTTGTTTCACCATGTGAATGAAGTTACCGGAGGTCCCATACTTACCTTCCCCCAATCCCAAAAAGGACGGCAATGGCAACGTACTCGTAACTCCTTCGTTGTTGCGGGTGTCTATGGGCAGCGCCGTTTGCTAGTTTTCCGACCTATGACACAAAAAAACTAGACGACTGAGCTCGTCAAATAGTTTCTTAGCCATCGTCATAGTTAATTATAATCAGTCTCAAGTGTTTCTGTTCTTTCTAGATCGTCAAGCTTACGTAACTGATGGGAGTAGGCGAGAGTATGGAGCATATGGTACACATCTGAATTTCTACGCATATGGTCAAGCTGGGATGTCGGCAGCAGTTACCAAGATGAACACAGTTATACTAGGGGCTCCTGGTCTTCTACAATGGACTGGTGAGTAGAGTTAAGTATTGGAGAGCCAATAAGCGTCGGCATAAATAGTTAATAGTTTGCCTGTCTTAAGTTACACGGAAAAACTTAAGTCACATTTGATTGTGAAACTGATTGAAAAAAGTACCAATAGGACTTTCTTGGTCGTTCTCCTCCTTATTAATTTATTCTTTCTAACGCCCAAAAAGCTTTGCCAGAGGACGTTAAGTATTAATTTTCAAAGTGCCTTGTAATGGTCTAAATGAAATAAATTATATGTATTATTTGAATTAGACATAAATACATAATTTGGTCCATATAATGTACACAAGATTATTTCTAACTATAACAATGCGTACCTATATAATAATGATAATTTTACTATGTTTGCATTGCAGGTGGCATTATAAGTCTATCATTCTTTCCAAATGACACCGGAACATACACGAACAAGTTACCAACAATGAATCCTTATCTCACCAAAGATTTGGGACCTGATGACTACTTTGGTAAATATATTTTCCATATAACTTTGAAAAAAAGAATCAATAAAAATGGGCATGACACAGAATATAATCCGAGGCAATTCTTTACCCTTTTTTGTATCTTATACTGCATTGATTGATGTTTGGTTTTCGTTTAAGGATATAGTGTGGACTCTGGAATATTTGATAGCAGTGGCCAGGTGTTATACGTGGCTGGAGCGCCTCGATACAACATTGCAAGTGGTCAGGTGAGTAAAATTAAGAATGCCCTCGTTGTGAACATCTAATTGATATAAACATAAACTGTATTTAAATTCAAATCCATCCAAACTCATATTATAAATGCGAAAGTAACGCTGTCTATCTTTTCTTCATGCCTAATCTACTGAACTGATTTCTGTGAAATATGGTATAGACATAGTTTGGAGCTCGAGAAAGGACATAGGATAGTTTTTATACCAAAAAACTGCAGGGAGTCATTATTCCACGCGAACGAAGTCGCGGGCAATTGCTAGTTACGTAATAAAATTAATTGTCTCAATTCTGGATGTGAAACCAAAATAAGCAGTCGGTATCGGATTCACTTCAATGTCTTTTTTTAATCTCAAAATTCTGTTTCTCAGGTAGTCATATTCGAACCACCAACAGAGGAGCTTGTGGCTTTAACCATCAAGGCAAAAATCAGGGGTCCTCAAACCGGCTCATACTTTGGAGCCAGTATTTGCAGCACAGATCTTAATGGAGATGGGCTTGATGACCTTCTAGTTGGAGCACCAACGTACGTCAAAGATGATGGCGGTCTCCCTTATGATCAAGGAGCTGTTTTTGTTTATTTGTCTAAGGAACAGGTATGTGTAATATTGATATACTTATTTTATTTAAAATTGATATAATGGGGATGTTTTAAAATTATATCTCTATACAAGAAAGCGGCTTTTTGACCTACAGCCTTGTGATTTTGACTGAAAACATTCTTATTCGCAATTGGCAATTTTTTTTTAAGCGTTGAAATTTTAGTGTATTCCCAGTTAAGTAGTATAATGTGAATGAAGCAATCTTCTAAATTTGTCTAACGCATAATTTATTTATGGAAATATGATCTACAGATGGTAAGTTTTTATTTAAAAGCATTATATGTTAAAAATATTTTTTCAGGGTGGTAGTTTTGTTTTAGTCGAACATGGCATGGTAACAGGATCTGGTACTAATGGAGCTTGGTTTGGACTCTCCATTGCTGATCTTGGAGACATTGATGGCAATGGCTTTAGAGGTAAAAGTTATTTAAGGCATTTACTCACATAAACATTTCAAAGGGATAAATGACGTCCATATTTTTGCATACACGCATGTTTTCAAAGACAATAAGAAGTTGGTCAAGGAAAAATCATCCTTCGTTTTTTTTATCTTTCAAACATGGTAATTTGAGACACAATAGAAGTACAATATGTGCGCGACCGCCGGCGTTCGCTTAGGGTTTAATTAATTAAACAATATAGCACAGAACTTTAAGCCTTGATTACTAATCAGTCAAAATGTTGGTTTCGTTTAAGCTGGATAATCATAATTCAATGTTTGTATTAGCAGTTAGTGCTGTCATCTAACAAAAAAGCTTTGGACCTAAGTAGATCAGAAATGCCATTACCAAAATTTTTTTACTCATTCTATTTTACAGATGTAGCTATAGGAGCACCATGGGAAGATGATGGAGCAGGCGCAGTCTACATTTATAGAGGGTGTTCTAAAGGGCTTAGTGAAGATAACGTACAACGTATCCAATCAAAGACGGCCAGAGGTTTTGGTTGGTCAATAGCCAAAGGCGTCGATATAGACCAGAATAACTGCAGTGGTAAGATAGATAGCGCAACACGATACTACAGTCTACAAACAAAAAAATAATAAAAAAGAGAAAGAAAATAAACACCGATAAGATATAAGATTGTGTTATTAGTACTGAATACTTTTATTGAGCCTGTTTATTGTTATTAAAGCCTTCCCTTATTTCTAGTCATTTGAGAGGCGTGCGTTCAACATGGACTTTGAATTTTCAAATTGCAATTGCACCTTGAGCATGCGTAGTGATTAATACTTAAACCTTATCTATATGCTTTTGTTGTTATGTGTTCAGATTATATTTTATGATGAGATTCTTTCTCATCACAAACCTGACTGACAATCACTGTCAGGTCTCTAAATCAATTTTTTCTTCAATAACATAACATTAATTGGTAATATAGTTAAATCATGTTTTTCTTTATACAGATCTAGCCATCGGAGCTCATAACAGTCAAACATCATACCTCTACCGATGTATTCCAACCATCAAAGTGCACGCGTCAATTAAGGTTCCTAATGCAATAAACCTGCCTTATAATACCACAAGTTTTCAAGCTGAGTTCTGTATATCATCTCCATCAATGGAACTTTGGCCTAACGTAGAATTAAGTAAGTATATTGAGTTTAAGAAAATAAAAGCTATATTTAACATATAAACCGAAGTGGCTTAAAGTATTTTTTATGTCAATTTTATTTCTAGACATTGTGGCGAATATTGAGGCTGACCCTGAATCCAACAGAGCAATGATATCAGGGGACCCAAAATACAGAGTCCGTGTAACACCAGGTATAGAAACATGTGATGAGCAAGAGATTGAAGTTAATGTAAGTATTAATGAAAATAAAACCATAGCCTTTGATGATAAAGTCTAAAACCATTCACCGAATACTGAGAATTAATTATTCCGTGTATTGTTCTAGCCAACTGCTGATTTATCGAAGCCAATAGAATTAGTATTTCAACTAGAGCCTGATGAATTAATGAAAGGTAAGCATTGTAAAACAAAAGAATAGTAAGTCCACATTAATATATCGATCGACAATCACCTGTCGAGAATGAGGGTCATAATTCTTGAAAGTAAAATTTTCCCCGCTCTTAGCTTTATTTCTGAGTCATGGGTGCGTTAACAAACATACAGTGGAAAAGGAACCATCGACATTTTGCCCGTATCCTAATGTTCAGCCGCTACGCCAACCACTTAGTATTATATTTCTCAGGTTAGAGCAGGTAATCATAATAACTGATATTCGGATATTCTCCATTTTGGATATTTTCAACAGGTAAGCCCCTTGATGAAGGGTTTCTTTTGAGGGGCAAAAACATCAAATGACCTCTCTTAGCTTCCTTATATTCGAATCTTACTGAATAAAAACCACCCTCTTCCTTCTCCTGATCCGAGCGCAGGGTAATAACATCAATAAGTGTGTGTTAATATTCACCTTATGACATTGTTACAGATAATTCATCAACATTTTTGATGAATGCTGCAAGATTATCCGAGGATTCGACTTTAAAAACTTCATTTCTCATACAACTAATGAGGGATTGTGGTGAAGATCTTATCTGCACTCCGTGGTTGGATTTGACATTGGAAGCTTTGAATAAGTAAGATAGCTACTTAATTATCAACACAACATATGACTTTCTTGCTTACATAAAAAGTAACTTTTTTTTTTAACCTTGCACACCACACCCCACGCTAGGATTTTCTCCTGCGTTGTGCGTGCGCCTGTAAACATACAATTTCACATGCACATCCCACCCAGTCCCGGAACAACAATCTGTGGATCACACAAAGAGTTGTTCCGTGCGGGAATCGAACCCGCAACAAGTTGCGCGGCAGTCAATTGTCCAGTCACCGCGCCAACCATGCAGTCAAAGTCAACTAAACCTATGGCCTAATCATTAAATTCTATATGAACTGAATAATTAAAAATATTTTTTTTGCACTATGTGAGCTTTGCTAATAATGTTTAGTATAAAACTACAGTCCTGAAGCCCAGTCATTCCTTCTTACTCAATGACAATAACATTTTTGTTTTATAATGAATTCGGGCAACCGTGGTAAGCAATTAGCGCCATGCGTCGACACTCACAATACCGATACACTAACACCCACTAGGTCTCCGGTACCTACGCGACAAAATACAAGGCAACCGTTAATTCAAGCCGGTTTTCTATGAGGCAACAAACATTTATCATTTCTACTCATGCATTTTTCTCAAATACTAATGAAGTTACGCTTTTCAGTCCATATGTTCCAGGAACAAACGCAACACTTGGAGCAAGAATCACAATAGTCAACTTTGAAGAACCAGCATATGCTGCAAAAGTGAATATTTCTCTGCCAATGTCACCAAAAAGGATACCTAGCGAATGTTCCTTACAAAACTTAGAGATGGTCTGCAATGTTCCGTCGCCCTTACTTAGAGGCGAAAAGATTGTATGGGAAATTGAATTGGATTATGAAATGAACCATGATGTGAATGATACTGATGACACTGTTTTAGAAATACGAGTTGAATTGAGTGATCCATTGTATAGACACGTTACTGATGATAATGTTACTGAATTGTTTATTAGCGTCAAACATGAAGCGAACTTTAGTATTAGTGGGTAAGTTTTAAAACTTATCTTTCGGTTCATTGCACTTGATTTTTTAAGAATTTTTGAGAAATTATATCAAGATGATAGTTTTTAGTGGTGTAATAGTACACGATATTCTAACGCACCATTCTCCTTTTCAGAAAGGCAATGCCAAATGCAACGCTTTCAATCCCAAGGGACGGTGTGGCAGTAGGAACAAACTTCACATTTAAACATTATTTTGAGGTACCTTATACAGTTAATCGCACTGAACTAGGTCATGTTGAAATTTTAAAGGAATTTATCAATAACATTTATGTTTTCTGATTTCAGATTACAAATCTTGGTCCATCGGACTCATCAGATTTAGAAGTTTTTATAACAGTACCGGACAGAGTAAGTTTAAACAGTCTTTATGACTTATTTTTGTCAGGAAATTTTATTGCTTTTCTTTTGTGTTCTGTATAATTCACATACATCTATGCAGTTTCCCTTTTGGCTTAGCCTATCATAACTAGTTGTGTTGATAATCAATAACTGAAATAGAAATCCGTAATGTTATGAATAGCAATACTTTCATTTTTCAGATAAACGTGTCTGCAAACATTACTGGTTGTGAACCAGCAGACAATACGAATGGTGTGTTGAAGTGCGTTTGGTCAGTACCAGCTAAAGTGTCTCATCCAGTGTACGTTCCTCTGCAAATGGATCTTAGCAAAGAAGGTAATTCTTTATTCTGTAACCTTCTTCACATTTTTTTAGCAATTGACGCCCATTGGCTAGAAGTGAGACGAGTGTTTCTAATACTGGCATGGCAAGAAATAGAATTCCATATTTAAAATTATCATGATTTGAATGAAACCGTTGACAAAAAAGTTTTTACATTGGTGAAATACCTTTGTCTATTGCCTAAAACCAAATTGTTTTTGTTAATAATTTGAACTTTATTTTTCAGGGAGTTACCTTCTGGAGAATTCTACGTATAACGCTACGACTAAAGTCACCGTTCTCTTCAGAAATAAAGTCACGTAAGTGCAAAATATTTATGTTGTGATTAAACATGCTATCCTTTTTTGTTAGAGCATTCATATTTTAATAGATTCTCAACCTAAATATTATTGTAGTAAAGTTGAAAATATGTTAAAGAATTTACTAGTTGTCATCTTTTTATATAAAGTATTTTAATAAAGTATATTGATTACTGTTTCCAGTCATTACTCATACACATATGCTATTCCTCAAAATAAATTAAATGATGATTAATGGGATTTTTATGGCAAAAATCCCATTAATCATCATTTAGAATATTTAAATTTAAGTTTTCTCAACAAAAATCTTATACATTATATTTTTTGAGTATTTCATAAAATTATCTTATTTATCTACATTTTAATTCATAAATTTACAGCAATTTCGAGGTGACGACCCGGTTGATTCTGGAACCCGAAAGTATAACTTGGAAGTTGATATTGATATGTGTGCTGCTCGGCTTATCAGTTCTTGCTGTGATAGTAACAATACTATATAAAGTGAGTATCGATAACATACCTACATACATACACACTACCCTATAAGTGCCTACTGCTGCGCAAAGGCCTCTTCTCAAACGGAGAAGGCTTGAGCATTAATCAACACGCTTGCTCATGGCGGATTAGCGATTTCAAACTTATAATTAGAAATTATATGTCCAGGTATACTTACGACGTTTTCCTTTACCGTATGTCAGTGGTGTCTTAATAATCACACAAAGTACATATATTTATCTTGAAAAAGTCACATTGATACTTGCCAGGGTTAAAAACCCAAAAACCCACACCCTCATCCATGAGAAGCGGGCGCCAAGTCGGGCCGCCTAGACATTATGTTTAATATCCTGGATACTTTTATAATACTTTTATAAAGTAACTGTCGTAAGAAATATTACATTTATTTAAAAAAGTAATAACTTAATGACGTGAATTTACTGAGAAAAGCTCTACTAGTTTCAAGTGACAATGGGACTCTTATACATTAGAGTCGGCTGTGTGAAACTAGAAGAGATTTTCTAATACCAATAATTTTTGAGGGGCAAATCATTAAATGACTTATTGGGTGAGGCGGAAGGCAGTTTCAGACTATTTCTTACTGACTAAAAACACTCCCATTCCTTCTCCTGGGGTGTGATTCTGTAAGACTTCATTCTAAACTTCCAATCTGAATCCCTGTGAGTAGTAGTACACTAGCTACACTTGCGAGTTGAACTAAATTGACAGCAACATTTTGATAGATAAAGTATGAGATGACGTAAAAAGTGGCATTCTAAAATTCAATTACCCCGTTACTTCGACGCTCACTTCGCACTCGAACAAGATTCAAATCAAACAAATTTTATAGAATCGACGTGCTGCTCTAGGCAGAAGCCGCGGTGCCTCATTGGGCTTGCCCCGCAATATCAGTCGAACATCAGCCATGTAGGACCTCGTTTATGGTGGTCTAGTAAATTTCAATAAAACCTTGAAATAATTATCAGTGTGAACTAAATATATTTTTCTAAGATATTAATTAATAAATGGTAGATTCTTCTATGCTTGATTGCAAATGAAAATTCTTTAATTTAAACATCGTTGTACACGTCAAATATATTAATGCAGTAATGAATAAAGCAACAACTTGAAATCTACTTATAACCTACAAACCAAAATACCATCATTTTAAAATTATTTATATTCGTTAAAATGTCATAAGTAACTTGATTCTAAAAGGTATACTTAACGATTTCTTCTGTCTATTCCAGCGAGGATTCTTCCAGAGAACTACTCACAGAATGCTACAAGAACAGAAGAATAATCAAAGATTAATACAAGAGAGTGATTCTTCGTCAGGACCAACAGAAGAGGATCAGGATATCCCGCTAGATGATTCTGATGAAGAGTTATAACATTAGTTAGCTTTTACTTCTCTAGAGATAGATATACCTATGTGTGTATTTAAAAAGAGAAAAAGTGAATGAGTGAGGGAGACAAAGTGTTAGTTGAATTTTTATCTGTTAGACTGAAATTATTTTATCAAAATTTGAGTGGGGAGTTTAGATATATGTGATGTTATTTATTTAATAAATAATAAAAATGATTCAATTTTATTTTAATATTACACACATTTTTGGAGCATTTGAGAAAATATAATTTAATGATTGGTGGATAAAAATGTATGACAAAAATGCCAAAGAGATTATTTTGATTGAATTCAGAATATTGTAAGTCTGTATAGTTTTCTAGGACTACGTATATAATAGTTTCCGCCTTTAGCTAAGCCTATGTGGTATGTTGATACAAATCCTAGACGTGTTGATCCAAGAAAGACATCACCTATCTACACATCAACCAAATCGGTCTAGCTGTTTTTGAGTGAAAGGACAACATTCATGCACTCAATGAACTTGTTATGTATGGATATACATAACAAGTTCATTGAGTGCACGTCTATACAATTTGCAGTGCACAAAGTTATGAATAAATTAGATTTTCTCAATATTTGCTTTCTTATTCAGTCAAACTTCCTTCGTACGGTCAACCATCCATCCATTTAGTCAAATTTTTACATCTATACTATATAGGTATATATATACTACTTATATAATATTATAAACAGGTAAAATTTGTAAGTTTGTATGTAGGGGGTAATCTTTGGAACCGCTGCTCGGATTGCCAAAGTTCTTTCACTGATAGATAGCTACAATGTTCCTGAGTGCTATAGGCTATTAAACATCACGCTACGATCAAATGGAGCCGAACAGCGGGTGAAACCGCGTGAGAGTAACTATTTGTTATATACGTAGGATCTTACCCTGCTAGCCCCACTACATGACATAAGTATAGTTTAGCTCCTACATTTGTCCATAATATATCTCGAATGACTTGATTGCACTACTCCGACTCTCCAAACTTTTCCATTCACTCCTTGATTTACTCCGACAACCAATTATCAGTTCTATTAACACGGTTTACAGTTTACAGTAGGAGAGCTCACGACGCTGAATTTGGACTCATTCTTTATCATAGACTACTACGTGATTTTAAAGAATTGGTGTTATAAGCAACATTTTGTCTGCACGGTTTTGACTGCATGGATGGCGCGGTGGCTGCGCAACGCACGGAACAACTCTTTGTGTGATCCACAAATTGTTGTTCCGGGTCTGGGTGTGATGTGTATGTGGAATTGTATGTTTGTAAACGTACCCACGACACAGGAGAAAATCTTAGTGTTATAGCGTTTTATTTAAGAAAAGAAAAAAAAAAGAAAAAGATTTTATGTTCCTTATTTTTCTCTTCAAACATTGTACCAAAATAGGATTTTCTCCAATTCAGACAATTTCACACACACTCTAATAACTCACAACTCTAATACGCGACACCTTGCACGGCAACTGGCCTAACCACCAACTGTGTAGTAAAATATTTTCATATATTATCAGAAATAAACTTATGTACGTATTACCTGATGGTAAGCAATCAGCGCCGCTCATGGACTCCCCAAACCCCAAAGAAGTTACAAGTGCGTTGTCGGACTTTTAGGGATAAGGATTTCGGATATTTAAGGATTGGGATTGGGCGAGGTGAAGGCCTTCGGTTATCTCACTCACACGATGAAACACAACGCTGTGGTTGTTTTACGCCGGTTTTATGTAAGGCCGTTGTATCACTCCGATCGAGCCAACCCATTCGTGCCTAAGCTAAGCTTTGTTTCACTTGTGTTAATATAATAAGACTTAAAAAAATGTTAATAAGACTTTGATAAAATATATATTGATTTCCGACGCATTTAAATCCAGTGCATGTGTATATTCAACAGGACATTACCTATTCCCCAAATGTTAATCTGACGCGGTCGAATAACTACCGGAATCCCTTCTTCGGCTCCCCTACTATAGAACTTCAAAGTTTCGAATTTAGAACACACTCGTAATCAATCTAACTTCGAAGAGGATTTCAAACGCTGTTAATTTAATTCCTCGTGTGTTTACTTTGACAGATGACAAATAGATCCATTTTGTTTAAGCCCTGTCACACTAAATGCTCGTATCTAAAACGCTACTATATGTAAGTACCGTATATCAAATAAATTTAAATATAGAACGTTATTTTGATGAACTTTAGGCCACGAACTGAAATAAATTCGGTAACGCGGCCCAGCCGGAGCAGGAGAAGGAACGGGTAGTTTTTTAGTTAGTAACTGTCTTATATTCCTTGTAGTCTCACCCTGGGCGACAGAAGTTATTTGATGAGTTCCCCCCTGCAGAAGCAGCATTTTTTATCGGATAAGATGTCTAATGAGCATAATGGGTCGGTAAGGTTACCGGACCAGCCTGGGTTGCGGGGTAAGCGCAATGAGGCACCGCGACCTCGGCCCAGAGCAGGAGTAGGAACAGGGGGGGTTTTAGTCAGTAAGAGGAGAAGTCATTTGATGATTTTCCCCTCACAATAAAAAGGTTACCGGACTGCACTTGTAGTAACTCCTTTGGCATTTCGAGTAGGTATCCATGAACGGCGCTGATTGCTTACCATCAGGTGATCCGTCTGCCCGTTTGCCAACGTTATGCCATAAAAAAGAACCCAAACAGATAAAATCAAATTTTGTATCGATTATAACGAAACTGAAAGTAAATAGCTATACAAAGTATTCCCTTCTACCCTCATTATCCCTCCTTAATGGCGCTAAAAGTAAAAAATGTTTCTCATCAAACCTTCTAGATTGTAATGAGAAGGATGACTATTACTTTTCAAATAGAACACAATTTGGAAGCTTTCTAAGTCAAAATGAATTTAGTATTTCAATTTCAAAAAAACCATTAAGATACTTAAAATATAATTACTTAAGTATGCGTTCATTAATCTATGACTATATATACTTTTCTTAAATTCATACTTTTTTATCGAGGAGAGTAACAAGTTTGACAAGCGATGTAAAAAAATTATGACGTCACTACGGCCGTCTTGTGTGATACAAAGTCAAAATCATTTATTCCAACTAACCCATATTTTAATTAGTAATTCAATTTGAAAAAAAACCATTAAGTTACTTAAGTATGTAATCACAAATGCATTCATTAATCTATATACTTTTTTGGCTATACCTATATACTTATTTAACATTGTTATTTTTTTAAGATAATTGGTAAGAGTAAGTAGGTTATGTAACGTAAAAAATTATGACGTTACTACGTGTTGTTTCATACGATTTAAAAATCAAAGTAAAAATCATTTATTCGAACTTAAATATAAACCGGTGTTTTTGAAACGCCATTAAAAATTCATAATACTTTGACATTTTTTTATGGTATTTTATGGAGGTATATGTCGGCAGACGAGCAGACGGATTACCTGATGGTAAGCAAACCAACCCAGTGTTTTTTATGTGATATGATGGCAAACGACCTGACGGACTACCCGATGACATGCAATCAGCGCCGCCCATTAACACTCGCAACAACTGAGAAGCTATATGTGCGTTGCCGACCTTTTCGGGATTAGGGATTTGGAGATTTTAGGACTGGGGGAGGGGAAGGATTGGTCTTCCAGTAACCTCATTCACACGCTGTGGTTGTTGTGTCCTAGTGGCTAATATCGCCGAAGGTTTTTTTTGTTGCTATACCCACCAGATCTTAGATTAGATAATTTCCATCTCATTCCAGTGGAACAGGTAATCTGTAATATCGTAAATGGTACTTTAAAGATAAGGGGTCGGTTGTAGCGAAGCGTGAAACATTGCGATAAAGCGTCTAATATCACTTTATCAGATAATGTAGAGATCTTGGTTAACCTAGTTCAGTTATTAGCAATAAAATTACGTATACGATCGTGGTGGCCCGTAGGCTAAGACTAGTACAAATGTGACTTAGGTCATATGCCGGTCGGGGTGCGGTGCCAGAAGACCTCCCCGTGGTGCACCCTGGGTACAGGTAATAGTCCCCCTAACGGGGGTGACAGGGTTGGAGTGGCTATTGCCTGTAGCGAACTTCTGGACGGGGCGGATAGACCCAGGATGGGTTCTGGAGGCGGCGGGTCGTGTGCTGATACATAGCCTGCGCTTCTGAGGGGACGTTTTTCCGTCCGTCTCTCTGAATTTAGCAGAGAGCGGAGCGGAAAGACTAGGGCGGTGCTCGTTGAGCACTCACCCTGCCAACGAGTGGCATCGGGACACATTGCTCTCGACTGCAGCCGTCGGAGTCGTAATCCGCGAAGAGTTCATGATATCATGACTTGAAACGGGACGAAGGTCTCGGCTTGGTTGCCCGGACCGCGAGGAAGATAACCTCTATAAAAAATTCCTTCAATACCAAGTTCTGGTGCGCGGCGAGGGTATGCATGGCTGAGGAGTAGTGTCAGTCGCGAGCGCACCCCCAGCTAGGGTACCGGTGGACCCTCTAGTTGGGTAATAAATGTACACTTACCTAGGGACAGGGGGCACTCCCTAGGTGGACCATTTATATCCCCCATTCTCGTGGGAATTATATGGATAATATTATTAATAAAACGTTAAAAGATGATGATAAGGAGGTAAAAAAATTGAGTACGAGCAAGAGCAGTTCGTGTCCCGGCACGAAAGGAAGAACAACGCGGTCGCATTTTAAGCGACCGGCTACACCAATGGGAGGAGTAGCTAGTGACAGTGGCGAGTCTGATTGCTCGCAATTGTCATCGGTCTCCCAGATGTCAACGGCGTCAAAAACGGCGCGAGCACGTAAGCGTACCCGAACGACGGCCTGGTCTGCGCAGGCTGCTGTAGAAAGCATGCCTGAATCAGATAAAGACGCTTTGGATAGATTGGCCAAAGAGAACGCGGATCTACGATCTCAAGTAGCTAGCCTCAAAGAAGCTGTTTCCGGTCTAAAAAACCAGCTGAACTTGATATCCCAACAGGGAGCACAGCAAAAGTCGCAAG